CAACGGCAGAGTTCAGAACGGATCGCCAATCTTTACCCATCCCGTGCTGATGGCTGATCCTGGGGAGCACATCACTCCTGACTGCATCGTTTGCTAGTTCATGAACAGAAAGCCCAGCGTGCACTGAACTATCACTACTCAAAAACACCTCTCCTTTTCTGTAGCCAACCTCTTTGAGCTACAAATGAACACAGGGAGAAAGAGACCAACCCTACCTATGTAAGAGATGAAGAAATTGCCAACGGGGTGTTATGTAAACAGACAACATTTGGGCCAGTTTATCTATTGTGAATATTGTAAAGGGAAATAGTTCTGAACATCTGATATAAAATTAACTGGAGGCATGATTCAACTTGAACACGAGGATTTAGCTCAGAAGTCTAATTCTTACCATCGTGAGTGTCTATTCAGGAAGTATTGAAAAAAAAAGACTTGTGAGTCTCATTAAGAGTTACTTCTAAATCAACATTTAAAAAATCCAGTTAATCAGTATATGATAAAAAAATATCCAACTGTTTTGCAAAATTCAGCTTTCATTTTCAATGGCAAACCCAGAATATTTTTAAACCTACAGAGCATTATTTTTATTTAAAACACCCTACAGATGTTGAAGTCAGTTTCTGAAAACATCAGAAGAATTCAAATCAGGCAAAAACACAGGCACATGTGGAGTAAACAACTCTTGAAAACTCTGCCCTTTGTCCATTCCCTTCATAAAATCTTCACAAGACTCCAAAATTCCCAGAGTGTACACTATATTTATCGAGTAAAGCCCTTCATTTAAAAATACTTCCTTGCGTTCTTACACGAATCCTGAAACTTCTACTTGCAAGAATCAATTATCCATAACAGCCCCATTGGTTGGAAGCTTTTTAATTATGTTTTTCATTTTGGAACAGTCCCAGTCCATCTCCTGATGACTATCTGTTCTTTAACAGATTAATAATGTCTGAAGCAGAGTCGGTCTGTGAAGAGATCACAGAAAAGATCTCAGCTCTACAAATACTGAACATGAGTGATCTGGGTTAAGGTCAATAAGGAGTCAGGTCAGAGAAGCTCTTATTTCATCTCCTTGCACAATACCTGCTCTGTAGGTAAACAGGAGTCTTTAGTTTAACAACATTGACAGACCTTAACCTTTCCAAACATACATATTTATTTAATTACTACATTTAAATCAAAGATATTTGTCATGAATAGCTTTTGCAAAGAGAGTACATGAAGATTTTCTTTGTTTCTTATCTGAATCACTAACATGAAAGTAAAGGCTGAGGTAATGATTTCACTGCAAGGAAGAAAACAAAGAAACCTCTCTTTCACTGCTAAGAAAGCTGAGCTCAGAGGCTCCCACCAGCTGTTAACTTTAAAATACTGAATCCAACTAAAATGAAAAAGGTCACTTTAGTCACTAAGGACTATGATGTGGTGGCTCCTTCTGTGAGACATGTTCTAAGGCTGGGAAAAAACTATTTCTTTTCACGACGACACGGCTCTCATGGATTTCAGATGCACATAAAAGCCATGCTTTCTGCAGGAAAACAAAACCAAAAAAGTCTCAAACAAACAAAACCCCCAAAGTTCCACCTCCAAAAAAAAAAAAAAAAGCTGTAATAATTAAATCCAACAATTTCCCAACAAGTTCATACCTGGTTAGAACAAGTCTAGCTTGTACCCGAATTATCTTCTACCCCAATCTTAAAGTGGCCTGAAGACTGTAGTAGTTAACGATAAAATATATTTTTATTTATTTATAGCTCACATTCCAATCTTTTTGCTTTTCATATTTTCCAGTTTTCACATCATGACACTACAGAGGAAGGACCTGCAGAACTTTTGTGTTGATAAACTCCACACCATATATGAAGAATGCATGTGATAAGTGAAAACTTAAGAAAAGTTCTCATCGTCCTTGTTTTCTTGCACAACACTCAGTTATCTTCTAAAAGGAATACTGTAATCAGATAATTATTAGATAACTAAACAAACTAAACAAACATGTTTTCTGTACTTCAACCTGTATACCATTAAGACTATAAATTTTCTGTCTGTAAGTCAAATGCATACATTGTATTTTACACCAGGAATCTGAGCTTTTACTCAATATTTCTGCATTTAATTGCATGGTACTTTAAAGAGAAGCTATCTGCAACAGATATCCATATCTAAAAGAAGGAGGTTCTTTACTACAGGCAGTGGAAATTTTGCCTTAGTAAGGACTTTACACTCCCTAATATGGGATTTTTGTCTAGAAAATAACAGAACTTATAAGCACCACAAATATAATCTAATTAGTCTAATAAATCATTTCTATTAAAAACTAATTTGAATTTAAAAAGTCATGCGACTTCAAAGAACTATAGATACTGCACAAATACATAGCCAAGAACTAATCTGTAATTATAAATCTGTAATTACAATTTGGTAGAGTTTGACCTTGCCCATGCGGATAAATAAGAAAACAATACTCATGTAAGCGGTTTCAAGGTTCTGTCTGCAGAAACATATTTAAGTGACTTTATGTAAGGCAGGTAGGTGAAAAAACTCAGCTACCCAGAATTGAAACAAAGGCAATCTATTGTTCTAGATTATTAGTTTCTTTAGCTTTTAACTATTCTATTTTTCAGTTTTCAATTGCAAGTTGCTTTCACATTACTACAGGATTCCTAGAGCTCTTATAAGCTATCAAAACATTGTGTTGAACTCTTGTTCAATTTAAATCATCGTTGCGTCTTTAAGATGATAAAGTTGGCAAAACATGAAGAGCTACCTGGTTTCCCATTTTTCCCCATTTTTCTTATTTTGACAAAACAAGACTCATTCCTTCACTTGGGTTTGTCCATGGAATTGTTCAATATTTTCAGTGGGACTGAAATCATGATTTAAATTCTATTACTGAAATGCACCAGTGTCATTTGCTTCAGGGGTACTCATGACAGACACAGCTTTTCTTCCTAGAAAATATATACATTTTATCAATTGTTTTAGGAATAAATATTTAAAGAAACCTTATTTCATCAGCTGAGATATAATTTAGGAATTCAGCAAAGAAATCCTCTGAACAAATTGGAAAGATACTTTTAGCTAGAACTGAGTGACTGTTTTCTAATACACAATTCACTCAGCTGTATTTTTTAGTCTTCTATTTACTATCTGACATGAATAGATCTGAGTAATAGAGCAGTTAGCCAACTGAAAAAAAATACAGAAATAAAAACACTGTAAAAAGTGTTCATCAGCTGTACTTTTCCATCACATTATATGAAAAAAAGGCTGCTCAAAGATCAGATCTTCATGGTTTGTTCTAGACCCAAGCTTTATCTCACCTTCTATTAAAATATATATATAAAATTGCTAAAAATAAGTAAATAAAAAACTCACTTTGATTTCCATTAAATGTTAGAACGCATAGATGATCAGTGGATAGCAAAGTGGACATGCATACAACTCAGGTAGTTGCACACACTTTAGCACAACCACCGAAATTATCAGCAGGGTAAGTAACCTAGCAGAGCGTATACACGTGGAAATGGGGACAGTCCCCATTAAGGTCTAGCTACCAGTCCGGAGCTTTCATCACAGTATGAGCACTAAGATATATGTCCTTACTAACGGTAAAGTAAATGGCAGATAACACCAGCTGTCTTAACAGTGCATGTTGAAATTTCGTGTAGTCATAGAACTGTATCGCGGGCTGCCGGTGTGCTCATCTGCTGGTGATGCTACAGAACTGAACGCGTGGGTAACTCAGGGTGCTGAGGCGAGATGCAACTGTGTCCCTCTGAAACGATACTGAAGTATGGCCTAAACTCAGTGATCAAAAAAAAAAAATCTTATTACTTAAAACTTCAGCTAGTTGGTACTCTCATTTTAGCTGCTGTGGTGTCATCCCTCACCCAGGTTACTCGTGTTTGAGTCCCAGCGCCACGTTCCTCACAGCCGCGCAACGGCCGTAACG